CAAAAACTCACGGAAAACGACAAAATGGACCGGATGACACTAAAACGAACCTAAAACCGACTCAATAACACAAATAAACACATAAAAATAAGCACAAAAACATAACAAACAGTGCATACTTAGTTTATATTATTGGTGCATATTTAGTTTATAAGGACTGCATGTGCAATTCATACCCATGCATATTTAGTTCATATTAAATGCATGGTACTGTATGCATATTACTTCATACATAATGCATACTAGCGGTCAACGGGTCAACGGTCAATGCTGGAAGTCAACGATTTTTGCTGGAAGTCAACGGTCAATTTCGAAAGTCAACGGTCAACGCCGGAGTCAACTAAATAATTTTTTATTATTTAATTAATGTATATTTTAATTGATTTTGATCTAGACAAAATGAGTGACTAAGATTGAGTCTCACATACTCATTTTAAGGAGTGGACTCATTGGATCCACCCCCTAAGGGGTATTCACGGTCCGGATTGGTCCGGTTTTAGCCCAAACCATGACCAAACCGGACCTAACGGTTATTTTTTTTCTTGCCCATAACCGGATCGATTTTATTTTTTAACCGGCCACAATCCGGACTGTATTGGACGGTCCGATTTGCGGTTAACCGGTTAAATCCAAAATCTTTGTTTTGGGCCTTTAAATTTTTTATTTTTTATTTTTTGATTTGGCTTAATTTTTATTTTTCAATTGGGCCCAAAAGAGATTATTTCGGCCTAAAAATTAAGAAAAACAACAATAATGATATAAAAAATACACCAATTCGTCCCATAAAATAAAAATACACATTTCGTCCCATAAACATAAAAATACAAAAATGATGAACATAAAAATGCCAAAAAGTGAAAGTGAATTTATTGTATTTGTCGGCCATAGTGAATGACTGAATGTATATATATATTTGTTATAGTTTTTTAATATTTACCGGTCCGGTCCGGTTAAACCAGCGGTTTGCCCAGGTAATCCGTTAACCGGACCGGTTATTCTGGATTTTTCAAAAAATTAACCACTAGATTTATTAAGGCTTTTTTAACCGACCATTTAACCGATCTGCGGTTCGGATTGACCTTTTTTTCGGTTAAAACTAAACCGTGAACACCCCTACCCCTATATATATACATATATATATATATATATATATATATTTTGCATAAAAAATTATGTCCATATTATATGATATATGTTCATATATTGGATAATAATTTTATATATTATATATAGTATATACATATATAATATATATATATATATATATATATATGAATATATATTAAATATTAAATAAATTAACTTGTATGACATTAAAATAAAAGAAAAGTTAATAAACATGAATACGAACATGTCGAACAGTGCACGAACAAGTTCGACTAGATAAACAAACGAACACGAAAGTGTCGAACCAATAAACGAACGAACACGAACGAATTTTTTTGTTCGTTCACTAAACGAACAAACACGAATATGTTTGAAAATTGGTCGAACTCGAGATCGAACACCTTAAGCTCGATTCGGTTCGGTTCAATAACAACACTAAGTGCAAGTGTAGCCCGTTATAACAACGACAAATTTAATCGACCAAAAAAAAAATAAAAAATGGCCGATAGGCAATTTCATTAATCCTCAGTTTTATTTTCTTATAACTAAAGGACAATTCGAACAATTCCACAAACTGAAAAGAAAAGCACAAAATCCATTAATTTCCGCGTTCAATGAATTTACAGTGAAACACAAACATAATAAGATAAAATATCACGACATAATAAGATAAAACATCACGACTTATAAAACAATGATAAAAACAAGCCCAAACTCTTATAATCAAACATCTCCGAGCGCCAAATTACGAATGAATTTAGCGACGGGCACAGGGCTCGTGGTCACTATATCCAGCTTACCACGAGCGGACGCCTTCCCAAAGCTCGACAAGCCGAACGTGATAAGCTCCCCCAGCGAGAGCCTGCCGGACAAGAACCCTTGCCAATAGCGAGGCTCGACCTCGAAAAAGCTTTCGACGAACCTCCTCGTCTTTTCCAAATCGAGCCTCAACATTATCTCCATCCCCAAGTTTTGATACTCCCTCTCCCGCCTCTTCTCCATCGGCCACAAGCTCTCCCACACCCTCCCGTACATCTCGGGCCCACGAATAATCGACCCGCCGCCAAGGCACTCGACAATGGCCCCCGCGACCGCCGGCGCCACAGCCATCGCCCGAGCCAACGTGTACCCGGTCGCCGGGTGCACGACCACCGAGTTCGCCCCGACGACCATAATGCTCTGAGGAATCTTCGGGAGCGGGCCCCCCATCACGATGAAGCACCTCTCCTCCTCGATCACCGATTTCACTCGTATGCCGAGATGCCTTAGCCTTGCCGCCATGCGGTTCTTGGTCTCTGCGTACGACAGGATCGGCCGGGCCACGACCGAGGTCTCTTCTAGAAAGATCAAGTTGGAGTCGAACGGCATCGCGTAGAGAAATGTCGGGAGTTTCGAATTGCTCGCGCGTAACTGTTGGGAAATAAGGTCGGATAAGATGGAATAATAACAACACACTAATGTGAAATCAATAAAAGACACGAATATTTGTTAACCCAGTTCGGATTAAATCCTACGACTTGAATCTTTCCCTCCATCTTATCTCCAACCTCTTGGAGAAAAACCCGAGAAGATGAGCGATGATGAATGGAAGGTGCTCGATCGGAAGGCGATGAGCGCTATAATTCTTTCGCTCTCTCGGAACGTCGCCTACCATGTGAAGGGAGCAAAAAGCACGAAGGAGGTCTTGCAGACACTCGCCGACATGTATGAAAAACCATCAGCAATAAACAAGGTGATGCTGATGAAAAAGCTGTTCAAATTGCAAATGGAGGAGCGAAAGTCAGTGGCCGATCATCTCAACGATTTCAACCAACTCACGACGCAGTTGGCATCGGTGGATATTTCGTTTGATGATGAGGTAAAAGCCCTAATCTTGCTCTCATCATTGCCGGACAGTTGGGACGTGGTTGTTACTTCGGTGAGCACTTCTTCTGGCAAGGAGAAGATGAAGTTCGACAACATAAGAGATATGATGTTGAACGAGGAGACCCGCAGAAATCAGGCGAGTGGGTCGTCTGGCTCAGCCCTACATACAGAGTCAAGAGGGAGACCCGAAACACGGGGGAAAATCCGTGGGAGGTCAAAATCCAGGGGAAGGAATAAAGGCAAGAAAGAGATGGTGTGTTGGAACTGCGAGAATCCTGGGCATATGAAAAGCGAATGCCGGGCACCAAGGAAGGACAAAGAAGGCCGGACAGCCAATGCCGCGACGGAGGACACAACGGATGCACTCTTGTTGAGTGTGAGAAGCTCGCTCGATGACTGGATCGTGGACTCAGGGGCCTCATTTCACTCTTGCAGTAGCAGAGACATCATGGAGCCATACACCGCAGGTGATTTTGGCGTGGTATATCTTGCAGACAATAAATCCCTAAAAATTGTAGGAAAGGGAGATGTGCAAATCAAGTCCGCAAATGGGTCATGCTGGACCCTACGGGATGTGAGGCACATTCCAGGACTGAAGAGGAATCTCATCTCAGTTGGACAGCTGGACAATGACGGCTTCCACACAATGTTTGGAGACGGAAAGTGGAAGGTCAGCCGAGGAGCTATGACTTTGGCAAGAGGGCTGGAGTCAGGAACGCTTTACACGGCGAGTGGATCCAGCTCAAACATTCTCCTGACAGGA